AGGTCAGCCTCGGTCCAGATCTGTGCCTGTCGTTTTCTTTACAGGCTCAATCGGTTCAACCGGATACACGAATGTACCCCTGGTTTACTAAAATGGACAAATTCCCAAGATAATATTTTTCAGATAATTATATTAAAATAATTATGGATAGATAAAAAAATAGGTGAGCAGTGGTGAATTGTGTTCAAGTAAAGTGACATGTACTTTTGTTTTCTGTTATATAATTATTGGGTTTACTTTATTTTGATGTAAACAGTCATAAAAAGGGTGTCTGATAATGAGAAAACAGCTGCATTTGTGTACAACTACTTCTGACATGACTTTTTCCTGATTTATCGGATATACACTGACAAAAATGGGTGCCAAAAATACTATGAAATCACTAATTTCTGTGTTTTTTTGTATTTAGTTGAAATTTGTGGGTACTCTTCATCTATGAATTCATAGGTCCACATAGTAATTACAAGTTTGACATAAAGCTCCATATGAGTGGGTATACTTGATCAATGAATTCATGTACCCACGCAGTTGTTAATTTTTGGGAAACAACAAAATTTGGGCCCAATGAAAAATATATGATTTCACAGTAGTAGAGCATATTAGGAAATTTTTAACAAATCTGTGTATTGATCTGAAACTTTCATTCAGTTTAAAAAAATGAATTTAATAAAAAATGTAATCCTTGAGTTGTTGTATCTGTGCTCCTGTTGTATGTCCTGTTACACTGATTTCGGTTGATGGCAGCGTAATACATTGTATATGTCTTATTACATTGATTTCGGTTGATGACAGCGTAATATATGTCTTGTAATACTGATTTCGGTTGATGACAGCGTAATATTAAATTAGGATACAAAGTACATGTACATAATGCATTGTATATAACCATGATGCAATCTGTTAATTTTCTCCAGATTTACGTTATACCAGAACGTTTTGGCCGCAGTTTCACTATTGCGTTTTTGGCCCTCCCCAATGAGGTTGAAATAAAGTTATCACATATGAATGGCAAAATTAACACTTGGCAAACATGGATTTTATCGGCAAAGGGCAAATATTTTACTATGTGAAAGTTTTCCCATACAGTGTCTTTACAGAAAAACTTGGCATAAATATTGTTGGCAGGTGTCAGGAATACACTTATAATTGATAGTACAGTATATTGTTATAGGGTTAGAAAGTTGGTGAGGTGGGTCCAATAAAAAAGTTATGGATGAAGAAGGTCATATTAAAGTGATTGCAGCCAACTTTGACTCGTGAGACAAATATAACTTGATTTGATATTTTACAGAAGATGTTGATTTGAAAGTGGCTGATATCAAACACCAGATGACCTGTAGTCAGGATACCATGGCAACCGAGGAGTCCATAGAGACGGAGGACGAACTCAGCAAGGATGAGGTGGTCAACTGTATATGTCTGTTTAATGAGGAAAATGGACTCATGATTCAGGTATGTGACATCATTTCAACTTCAGGATTCAGGTACATGTATGTCATAATGTAGAGTCAAACTTCAGATTTTATTATTTTATGTTTGTTTAAAATATATTATATACTTCACCATCTGGGATATGTTATGACTTCCTATGGATTTCATTTCTTTTGCTACAATTCATGTGTTACAATAGCTAAGGTAAGGAAGATCAATATGTATCGAAATACTGTGGTCACGATACATAGAAAACAGTAAAAGCAAAGAGAAAAAATATGTTACAACATTTTCATGGCAATATTACAACTGAAAATTGACGTGGTCCATAATAGGCATAACTTTAAAGTTTCACACCTTCACGTCTTTCAACGTGCATGCCGAGCTGGAGCGGACCCTCAGCATGTTGGAATGAATATGAGCAGATTAAATTCAGAAATGACAAAATCCGGATAATACCCTTAGTGTATCACGAGCTTCCAAAAAATATTGTGTATCATACCAACTTCAAAATATCGCAATATATCGTTGCAGCAATAAGATAAGAGGGAGTCGGAGGACTAGTGAAGATATTTTTTCTGTATTTCAGTGTGACGTTTGTCTATGCTGGCAGCATGCTGTTTGTTTTGATCTGACGGTGGAAACTTTACCCAAGAAATACATCTGTTTTGTGTGCTCGGACCCAACAGGTAATAAAGCTATCAAAGACAGATTGTACAAAGTGTAAGTAAGTAGGTACATTTAAAAAAACTATAAACAAGATTATTGCTTTAATGATTATATGATGTTTCATATAACTCTGTTTATTTTCTACCTCAATTTTACAGAAGCCTGTTCCTACATGAATTTGGAAAATATGGCATTATCTTTATTGAAATATGGAAGATATCAGGGAAGCAGCCTGTATTCTGACAGCTGTAAAACCAGGCAAAAGAAATTAATTTAAGTCAACTCATTTTCCCTATACAATCCCATACACAATGTCACCCTATATATATAGATATGGAATTTATGGAGCAGAAAGTTTTCAATTCTTTTT